AAAGCCCCTCTCTAGGTTTGTCCAAGATCAAACTAGACCACAGCAAAATAAGCCACTAACAGGCATGTGGACTTCACCTGTGTGGAGTGCCAGAGAATTGCAAAGAGACGCTCCTTGATCTGGTGTACCAACTCCAAACCAGCACTGAAATGCTCTGCTTTCAAGAGCCGAAGAGAAGAGGCCAAGTCCTGGTACTGCAGCAGGGTTTCCTCTGCAATGCAAGGCCAACAAAGTCATTCTGCTTCTCACACTCTTGAGCAGAGATCAAGTCCCTTGGCTCTGATTATCAACCCAGTCACAGCTACTTAGGTCTCCTGTTCACATACGTTCCTCTTTCAGAAGGAAACATGTTGCTCCTTACTCCACCAATCTCCACGCGCAGTCAAACTGCTTCAGTGGACTTCCCAGAAATGGCATCAAGAAGGCAAAAATGGGCTGGGAGTAGTGAGAGAGACCAGCTGGCTGCTGGTGTGTATGTTACTGCCTGTGATAGTTTGATGTGTGGGGGGGTGTTCTGGTGGCAGGGGAGGGGATTTGCTCCCTGTGCCACCAGACCTGAGTCCCATCCCCCCTGGGGGAGGTTGAGCCAAATCGGCGCCTCTGCGAATTTCCCTATTTAAGTTGAGACAAAGGGGCGGGAAAGGGGCTTTTTGCTCAGGAGCCAGGAGAGAGCAGGAGGGCGCTGCCCTCACTCCCGGCTCCTGGCCGAGCAGCCGCTCGGGCTGCTCGGGCCCGGGCCGGCGCCATGTGCTCAAGATGGCGCCGGGGGAGCCGCATGGGGGACTCGGTAAGCGCCCCACTCCTGGGGTGCCCGCCGGGCCGAGCTTCCCCAGAGAGGATTAATATCTAAGAGAAGACAACCACAACGACCGGGTCAGCAAAGATGGAGCAGGAGGAGGTGTACTGGAGCTGAGGCTTCCCTTGCAAATCGGTGTGAGATGGCAGGCGGCCCCCCTGCAGCCAGGGTGTACTCGGCGGAGCAGCGACCCACTCGTGGCCTGTGGAGAAACCCACGTCGGGAAGGAGATGCCTGAGCCCAGGACAGGTCGTGGAG